AGGTAAACTTTTTGATTCTTCTTTTGGCTAGTAACCATTTCTGCATCTATTTGTAATTTAAATTTCAGGAGTTTTTTTCTATTTTAATTCTTATGAACACTGGGCAGGGAAAACTGTTTCCCTCCTCAATATAAATACAGAGAGAGTGAGGAGGTACAATAAGGCCAAGCACACACAATATTCTACAAACCTCAAATCTGGGGAAGGAGGTCTATGTTGGAACCACGGATGGAACAGGTACATTGTGATGATGGATCACAGCTACTGATGTGAACAAATTAGCGAATATACTTTTGGAAAGTGTTGAGACAACATCTCAGGCCAAAATATTGCAGTGGTTATTAGGCAAATCCATAACCACTGTTATCTCTGTGGATTAGGGTAAATTTTCTATAGTTCTGCAATGCAACTAGGATTTCCTAGTTATCAAGGTTATTACAAACCCAACATCTCAGACTAATTTGGCTTTGTGTAATTTATCAAATATGTCCTGACTTCCTCACGATGATACTCGTTCATGCCCTGAGTTCTTCATGATGATGTCATGGAAGTAAGAAAAGCATTTTTCTTTGAACCAAAAATTCAGTTACAATGAAACCTTTTATATACAATTGAGGATCTTCTTGGGTAATAACATTATTCCAACCTATGAGGCAAGGTGCAAACTCCCACTCTGAGAAGCTGTCTTAGGTAGTCACTTTCCATGCACTGTGGTGGACAGTTTAAGGGAATTGTTTCTTAATTGCAGGGTTGTCCTTGATAACAGTGAAAAAAAATTGGTTTGGACAGTATTGATTCCTTTCCTAGAAGCACTTCTGTTCCCCTTTCAGGACATTCCCAGCCAGCAAAACATTCACTGACGGTCAGATAAAACAGCTTAAGTTTGCCCCATGCTGAATTTAATCAATAGGAGCATATTTACTTTGCAGAGTATTGGCCATGTTAATTCAGCTGAGGAAATATCATCATCATCGTGTGCCTCTGAGGTACAATAGAAAATGAGCATTGGTAAAACCCATACAAAGCTATCCAAATTTCTTGAATTTTCCCCAATTATTTTTTTAGAAGAGCATTGATTGGGTTTTTTTCATAATATGAATTTTGGCAAGTTTTAGTGTTCTCCCTTTGGCTGCATATAATGATTCTCWCTTGGTAAGCATTTTGTTTGAAGCACATTTGTTTTTAGTAAGAGCCTTGTGTCATCCCTCCTGCATACAGGGAGAACTGAAAACAGCCATCRTGGGCTTACACTTGGTTAGTGTTTGGAAGGCTTTTGATGGAAAATTTCACTTTCAGAATATTTACCAAGGCTGCTCACAGTGTCTGTGAGATAAAAGAGTAATAGTATAACTGCTTAAGAGAGAAATTGGGATAAATTGAGATTAATTGCTTTGCCTCGAGCCTGTTTCAGCTAGGTCATGTGCTCCAAAAGTAATGCTCCACAATGGATAGGACTCAAGTGCTTTGCACRAGGAGTATATTAGTGTAATTATAAAAGGTCATGAGTGTGTTCTCATTATCTGAAGTGAATGATTAAAATTCAGAACAAACAATAATGCAGCATAGTTCGTTTCTTTCTAAACAAACACCTCAGATTCCCACACAGACATGTCTGGTGTTCACACAGACATGTCTGATGTTCAAGCTACAGTGTCTGATTTTGTCTTTTGGGTTTCTTTGTTGGCTCTAGGCATTTTCTCAGCTGCAAACTTTTTGACTTGCTATAGCAAACCATTATAGAAAGCAAAACATTTTGAGATTGTGTTTTGGGGGCTTGAATTTCCCTGATCATATTAGTATTACTTTTATGTATGCCATGACAGCAAGTCCATTAGCAAAACAAACAGGGACTAGAGTGGGTGAAATGAATACAGAACATAGGCAGAAGCAGATAAGACAGCAGCACAGTCTGTGGGCTTAAGACAGCGCTTGAGCAAGGCTCTGTTATCACCTGGGAAATCCCTTCAAGGTGAGGAAACCAAGGAGCTAATAATAATCCTAACTACAAGCATGAAAATGACCGTAATCTTAAAATTTTCTTCTGAAAAACGTGGCAGAAAAACATCTGTAGCTAGGTGGGGAATACTGCAAGCAGAGATGATTGTGTTTTACTGCTGTGGAGTGTAAGGAGTGCTTGATGTGAGCAGTGCTGCTGCAGTGACCGGTGGAGTCCTTGGGCAGGTGACGTGGGTCAGTGTCAGGAATCAAGGGAAGGGGGACCTGGCTGCAGTGAAGATCCCAACAGAAGTGTCAAGACACGCTACAGTCCAGCATTTATGACACTTCCTTCATAAGTATTTCCAGCACCTGATGGGATGAGAAAGGATTTATTGAAAGTGACCAGCTAAATCCTTGTTATAGACTTGTGTCTGTAAAAAAGAATGGTAGGGTAAAATTGGTTTTTAAAAGAAAGGGAAGAAAARTACTCCCTCAGTTATGGTCTTCTTACACATCTTTTTTTTTTCTAACCAAATAGAGTCTTTGTAGGGCAACTGAGCATGGGGTTGGTAAATAATTTTGAAGTTCATACAATGAAATGTGTCTTACATGCCAGTAACAGTTGTTAAAGAAATGATAATTGAGTCCTGTCATATTTCRCCACTTTTTCACCATTTAATTTCAATATGCATGAAATGAAAGTGATCCAGTTTATTTCCATGTGTGACCAATTTCATCTTTTCTTTTGTTTTTCTTTTTAATTATGAAAATTAAATTAATACTCATTTTTGGCTGTGATCTGAAAATTCGGTGTTACATCTGACTTATGCTAAATCTAGTATCATCACATTTAATAATAACAAAACTTCACAATTACAGAAAAGTGATATAATTTAAATAATTTGAATTTAARTTAGCTTTTTCTAGCCAAAGGGCTTGCTTTTTCCAGTTACAAAATACATAAGTGAGAGAAAAATACTATATTTATTTTTTTTATATATAACTTTTACAATGCAATTTGGCATTGCAAACATAAAGAGCATTAACCAGAAATATGGACTTTGAATTTGTTATGCCTTAGTTAAGATATTTGTTAAATGTATCTATGTTTCTTTTGTTTTAGTTGTAAAAAACAACTTTTTTCCCCCATATAATTCTGTTTTTTTGAAAACAAAATATGCTACACGTCTGTTTAAAACACTCATGTACTAACAATTAGATAGATTGGTGGTGTTTTTTAACCTGGTAGTGAATACAGTAGCAACCTAGGATCTGGAGTGATATTTATTTTCAGGTACTCTTGTGTTCTAGTCCAAAGTTAAGATCCTCATTTTGGGATCACAGSTATGGTTCAAACATTGAATATTCTGTTCTTGGAGAAGCACAGGTCTGAAAACCTGGCTGCTCCATTTTTGTTAACATTAAACTGTTTCCAGAAAATGTTTTTGTTGCAGCAGGGAGTGCAGAATTACCCTCCGTTTCTTGCTCTCTAAATGTGCAAAATTTAGCTGCAGCTGCTTTGACAACTTTTCTGCAGTGACCTCTGGTACTGACATATGWAAAAGTGAAGCCAAAATTTTACATTTCTAATAAGTAACTTCTCGTAGGCAGGTGTTACAGGTTCACCTTTAGGCAGTTGCTATTTTTTAAAGTGTTATTTTCAGTCTTTSTCTCCATCCTATTTTTCTGTGTCCTCTAAGAGGAAAATAGAAATTCCAGGTGATGGAAAAGCAGCAGTGCCTTCTATTCTGTCTAAAAAATAAAACACAAAGCAAAACAGTGAAGGAAGGAAGAAGCATTCTTTTCAGAAAATTGTTTACATAAAATACTRTAGTCAGAAAGTGATAAAGAATAACCATTTTTTTTTTTAGCAGCAGAAGAACATCAGAATATAGTCTTCAATCCCYTTACATGTTTTGTAATGCAGATTCCCTTTTAAAGTAGCCTTGCCAATGTACCTTAAATATATTTTAGAATTATTTTACCATGAAATTAGTTTTTCTCCATCATTGACTTAGTTGAATCCTTCTTTTTGATCTATGCTGGGACATTAGAAGTGAAGCCATGGCTGCACATACTGTTTGAGTCGGTTCCTATCAGAAAGTGTTCTGCAGCCGACCATACCCAGGGAGAGCAAAGGTTATTTAGCATAGCCTGGCTGCTCTGTAACCAGCTCGTCCAGCTCTCACCACAAGTCTTACTCAATTCCCACACTCTTTATTTCTGCCACCAGGTTGTATTTACATATTCAATACCCAGAGGAAAAGTGGAGAAGGGAATTTCAGTCTTGAGAACAAGTGCAGAGCAGCAAGAAGATCTTCAGGTTGTCCTCTTGCCCTGTTAGTCAGCCCARCTTAAACTCCAGCCTCTGGATTTCCTCTCTAGTAACCAACCTGCAAAATATCGCCTGCCTTTTAACCTTATACATTAAGTTTTGGTTTGGTTTTGGTTTTTTTTTTTTATGAGGAGGGCTAAAATAAGCAATTAGAAGTCATAAATTGGTCTGGGTGGACAGTTTTGGCTTCCTGATATTTCACCATCACTGTCCCAGTAATGGCTATTTTTCCTATTCATTTGCAGACAGTTAATTTTCCTGCCATTTTAAAAATTTTATTTTGAAAGTATTACTTTATAGTAGCTGTGGGGGAAAATTATACATTGTTGTTGATTTACACAGCATTTTAAGGAACAACTATAGTAAGATTAAGGTGCACTTTAGTATTACAAGGTCACAGCAGTTCAACCTTATATTAAGGAAAACTTTTTCTTAGATATTCAATGGTGGTATTTAATTTGTGGCATTTAATTTCCATTTTACCTGTTCCAACTTTAGGTGGAATTTTTTTTTTCTTTTTCCTTTTTTTGCTGTTTAAATAGCAGTTTCTTGCCTATCACAAGCAGGAAGTTACACAAATCTGTAAAAGAGATGGTAGCTGGTTTTCAGGGTTTGAATGCCATATTGCAACTTTTGTAACTAGTCTTCTGAAGTGAAACACTGTCGCTGCTGACCAAACAGCGACAGAAAAGAATAGATAAAAAACACACAAAAGTGGGTGAAAAAAACAGAAAGAAAGAAGGACTTTATTGTGGGACAAGCCTCTTTTATCCACTTTAGCAACCAGAGTACACATTTGTGTCAAVCATACATTGGTCAAGAGACAGCTGYTTAATTAGTAATCAGAACATAATTGGTGAGTTTGCAAAAGCTACAGTATTAGTAATGTTTCTAATTTTCAGCCACCTGCGTTATCAATTCTGCATTCCAATCTGCTTTTCTCAARGATACAGCATTCCTCCTCCATGTGGGCAGTTAACACTCCTTTTCTTTTCCCAGGCCTCAGTCATACACAATGATTGCCTGAGTTTCAGAATCAGGGTTTGTGGGGCCCCGTTCCCCCACAGGTCCCCTTTTTTGTTTTTGAACCAAAAATGCTGTGTTTACGGTTCTCTGCAGGGCCCTTTGCAGGAAAGACAACAAATACGGCACCAACAATAACATTAACAATATCACAAGCAAGATGACTCCACCCATCTTCAACATATCCCTGAGCCACCCTGAGAAGCCCCATTTGTCAAACAGCCCATCAATCCAGCTATCATTCCTTTGTAGCATTTTCACACCATCCTGTAATTCTTGTATGTTTGCAAAAATTGATTTCSAATGGTCTGATAAGTTCATGCAACACAGACCTTCAAAATCCTCACATCCATGCCCATGTGCTAGAAGCAGAAAATCGACAGCTGCTCGATTCTGCAAGGTGGCATGAYGTACAGAGTTAACATCAGCTAGTAATCCTGCTATAGCTGCTGAAGTGGCATTAGMATWCCTAGCAAKCCAGCAGCCCAGTTTATCAAGCTGCCTYAAAGCTTGTGCTGTACCCACYGGAGCAAAAAGAGAAGCTATCACCCGTGTACCAGAACCCCAAAATTCCAGGTCGCGCGCACAATCTGGCTTGAACCCCGAGAGCGATCTGCGTTGCCGGTGCATCAATCGCGTGATGTTGCGCGCCAGTGTGATATTAGGGAGCATCATTGTTAGTTGCCCAAAGGTGCAAGGCCCTCCCACCATGTCGGAGGGGAGGCCTGCCCATGCTCGATCTCCACATAACAGAAACACTCCGGGAGGCAGCTGTCGCGGCACCTGGTTGTTCAAAAATYCCACACSCACACTCTTATTACACCAAGTAGATGAATTACCATACCAAGCTTGCAAAGGCGYAACATTCAGTKTRGGACCATCATAATGTCCCCCRTACCAAGCACGGGATATATTAAAGGTCACGCAAGCAAGTGCGTGAAGAGAACCCAGTAAATCTAGTTCCTGTGGTTCATTAGGATAGGTTGGTGTCAGCCTTGTTTCCCCTTGTCCCGTTGTTCCGTTCGCTAGTGCCCGTATTAAATGTCTCATTTCGCAATGGCACTCCTACCAAGCATGTCTGAAAAGGAGAGCGAGGCGTAGCAAGCGACACACACATAGATGATTGGTTCAAAGCATGAGCTAGAGTCACCCAAATATTCCCTTTAGGCAGTGAAGGCATCAGTGCTGCTCCCTTCCCGCCACAACTCCAGGCGGCGATGGAGGCGACGATGAGGATGGTCAGAAGAACTCTAACCTGTGCCATCATTGTTTCTGCGCTGGTTCTGCTTCAAATCAGGTCTCACACACCGTGCTGGCACCCAACGAGGTCCAGTATCTGTGGAGACAGAAGCATACCCATGCCCCCAAATGATGAGGTCCCAGGGACCTTCCCAATTATTGGTTATGAGGTCTCTTACCCAGACCTTTCCTCGGGGAAGGGTCACTGCTGCTTCCAACTGCAAAGACAGAAAATGCTTCATAAAAACTGGAATGTTAGAATCAGAAGGCACCGTAAGGTGATTAATTGTATACAAGGCTTTTTGTAGCCTGGGATATGGGGGTTCCCCTGACATTCCCCCTTTTTGTTTTTGCAAAACACGTTTTAAGGTACCGTGAGCATGTTCGATAATTGCTTGACCTGTGGGTGAATGAGGGATACCGGATTTGTGAGTTACACCCCATAACTGCAAGAACCTCCTGGTTCTCTGCGAGGTGTAGGCAGGACCATTGTCCATCTTGATGGACGATGGTACCCCCAAAACCGCAAAAGCGATTTGCCAGTGTGCGATAGCATCACGGCTTTTCTCTCCTGCGTGAGCAGATGCCCACATAGCAGAAGAGAAGGTGTCAATGGAGACGTGCACGTACTCGAGGGGACCAAACTCCGCAACGTGAGTGACATCTGTCTGCCAGAGTTGCAACGCTTGCAAACCTCTGGGATTGACACCCACAGGCAGAGGTGCAGTGAATCCCTGGCAGTCAGGACATGAGCTGACTATGTCCCGAGCCTGAGCAAGTGTAAGGGAAAATTGTTTCTGCAAAGTACGTGCACTCTGATGGAAAAAATCGTGTGATGCTTTAGCTTGCACCACACTGTCAGGCTGCGGCGCCACCCAGGCAGGATTGGCGAGCTTATCAGCTCTAGAGTTACCTTCTGCTACAGACCCTGGTAACGTAGTGTGACTCCGAACATGCAGGATGTAGTAAGGATGTAGTCGTTCTTGAATCGCAGACCACAAAGATTTCAACAGGGAAAACAAAGCGACATTGTTAACTTCTTTCAACAATGAGCAATCTAAGC